ATGATGATGATGATGATGATGATGATGATGATGATGATGACAATAACAAAGACAAATACTGAAGACCATGACAATTACATGACAATTACATTGCCTTGCACAAATCATCAGTCGATAAAAAGGTTATCCCATAAAGAACAGCCCAAATATAAAACTGCTCTGAGGAAATCTCAAGGGAACATAAATACAGCTATTTCGAGAAAGGTTGCCGGAAAAAGTGCACGAGACAATCCCAAAAGGCATTGTGGGTGGTTTTAAGGGCACTATACTTCAAAGAAATTTGAAAGAATGCTGCGTGAGGCCACGGACATATGTTTGCGAGTACTAAAGGAAAGCAACAAAAGTAGGTTCAACAGCTTCAGTCGTTACAAACAGTGTATTAATCATATCCCATATTACCTTTCGGGATTGTCGCATGCACATTTCTTTCGACAACCTAGCCTGCGAGCAAGCTCTCCTGTTTGGGCCAGTGAAATACAAGTCTCGCGAGAACGCACGAGCAAGTGGCGAAGCCGCGAGGGGCAGGGCTCCTTTCCTCGGCCCCTCGCTCGCGCGTTCTCGCGAGGCTCGCTTCTTTTGCCCAAATAGGAGAGCTTGCTCGCAGGCTACCGACAACCTTTCTCGAAACAGCTGCAACCAGCAGCAAAGCATACCAACCAGCAACCTCTCTTTGCCAACGATATGTTCTGTGATGATTTTTACTGAATGTTCTGCCTCTGGTACATTGGCTTCTTTTAAGCGTTTTATCCACGCCCTCGTGACGTTTCTGAGATTTTGAGAGTCAGGAGAGTCAGCATCGCGTAAAACTTCAGCATTTTGAAAGTGTCTTTGAAGTTTAGGTATAAACCTGGCGTAATTTACAATCGCAAATATACTCTGGCGACTAAAGATTCCCCTTCTTAATGTCATTAATAATATGCGCCAATAGCTAAATGAGAGGATTTAAAATCTCAAAAAGTCGAAGCGCAACTTGAAGATACCGATATGCGGTAGGCCGCCATTTTTGATTAATATTCGTTCCCAGGTTTTCTACCAATCCCGTCCGTGGGAAGCTGGGTCGAATAACTCAAGAGGGAAATTAACAAACGCAGTTTATATTAATAAACGCACTTGCAAATTTCACTCTCGTTTTTAACAGGAAAATATCACAAAAATTAGCAAATCTCACTGGTAGAAATAGGTTACATATGACTTTATCATGCTGTGTTGTTTCTTATGAGTGACAATCACCGATTTTGAGCCACCGAAGCAATGTTGAAGGAACGTTGATCTGATAGCTACATGCTGCTTGAAATGTATGAACCTGTTCTTGCTGTGAAATTTATAATTTCGCTTCTGTGCGTGATCACTGATTTGAAAGCAGGTAGGTGCTATGTAATGACTGTGATTAAAAAGGGTTATTGCCTTGTTTTTAGTTTATCTAATTTTGACTTGGTATGAATAGTAGAGGGCTTAAAATCACAGATGATTTTCAAATTTGAGCAGCTGTTTTCAGGCAATTTGTAGTTAAGAAAAAAATTTGGTTAGATAACCTCTCATTGAGCTTCATTTCCATATTTTGTACATGCATAGGGTGTAAAGAAAGTCGGTTTAAAGCTTCCCATTTAGGCAGGCTATAAATAGCATGTACTAGCCCACAAGTCATTTTAAATGTTGCTTGCCTAAAGAAAGTTTTGATGACCAGGATTGAGAACAGTTCCTCTGTAATTTGAATTCCCCAAAAATTTCATTAGTAAGAACAGAACTCACTCACCTGATAGCAAAATCCACTAGCCCCTGCTTATCGGACATGTCTTTCTTTGCATGCTGATATATAACTAGCCTGTGAGAGCATGCGGTTTTTTCAGCTCAAGTTTCTAGTTTCAGCTGCTGAATGAAACCAGAATCTTGAGCCGAAAAAACCAGATGCTCTTGCAGGCTATTATATTACAACAGCAAATTCAACTTGTTGTGTTCTTGCCTCACTTTAGATTCTTCATGATCATATGAATCATTATTTTATACTCTCTGAGGTGTCTTTAGTATCCAATCAGTGACCTTAAGCATTCAACTTTTTTGGAGGGGTTACCTGCATGGAAATAAGATTGCTTGATGGACAATCAGAGATCCAATTTTTCATTTTTTTATTGTGGATGTGCTTGCATTAATTTTATTTCTAATTGTTTTTAGAAGAGACCTCTGCACCTGTGCTTGTCAGAGCCTGTGTCCAGATGTCATGCATGACACTCATGCAGACGTTCATGGTTATTTAATTTTACAGCATACTGTTTCAGTTATTAATTTTATGACAATGTTCTTGGCAAAAAACACAGAAAAACATCCATCAAACCTTGGTTTAAAGTGATTGTTTTTATCACTAATTTTCTTTCAGGACTCAGCATACCCTTATCTTCAAAGAGTGGAAACAATGTCCAAATTCCACCCATTATAGTGAACCATAATGAATCAAGACTACTCAATGTTACAAGCAACAACCTAAACTCAAGTAGAACAAACTTGACATCTATCATCACTGCTGTGCCCACAGTCTTAACAACAAAGCCATCTAGGACACATATCGTGGATGTCATGTTTGGAGAGAACAATAATCATGATGTTACTTCATCAAACAATGTGTCGAACTCATCTGTGAGCGATATAACGTCAACTGCACCAAGCTTATTGACTTTGTCCACACATGTTCAAAACCATACTACTGTTTCACCATCACAAAATGCTGTGAAGCATCATTTTAACACAAAAATAGTTGAATATGTGATCATACCAATAGGATGTTTGTTGGTTGTTTTAATTTCATATTGTCTGGTGAGTAGAATTTAACCAGTCATTTACTTTTATAAAATCAGGTAATTTTTTTTTTATGTTTAACAATTTTGAAGTATCACTCGTGGTATTTATGCCAAATATCACTACAAATCATGCTATTACCTGTACAAATAGAATTTTAGGTTTCAGTTTTGGAGGTTGGCTTTGAAAACTCTTAGTTACTCCAAATTCCGTTCCATTACTGAATACCACCTATTGATAAGGGTTAGCTGTAATATAGTGGGTCCCATGACTATTTAAGCGCTTACAAAAGATGCCGATGCATTTCGCTATGGCTATTTCCGCCATTTGCTGCATCTCCCATAAAACCCTAGCTGTTATTCATATAATTGATTTTTCATTGTATTTTGACTTATAGATTCGTCAAGTGCAGAAAGTGCGAAGGAAACGGCGGCTTGAAAGAGAACTATTTCATCAGTACTCCTACCCAAACAGTGAAGCTGATGACTTAGAAGAGAGGAATATTGGCGATGTAGAGAGCGTCATTAATGCCCAGTTTGTTTGTATTAACAGTGATCGTTCAGATAAGAATCTATATGAAGATTCACATGAGGTAAGGTCTTCTTAACACTAGTTTAAACAGTTTACAATAATACAGTGAAACCCTGCCTTATCGCCACCTCAGTAATACTGTCACCTCGTTATTACAGCCACTTTTTTTTGGCAGCCTGGCCAAAACCGCCATACATTTTCTTGTAAAAAAACCCTCGTTAATATGGCCAAATTTTTTTGGCCCATTAGTGACCGTATTAACAGGGTTCCACTGCAGCTGATTGGCTGGATAAGTTTTTGCCGGGTCCACCTAATAGTTTCTCATTTTCCTGAGGGGTTGTAGAGGAAGTGAACTGCATAATACATGAATATTGCCACCCAAAACAATGGTAGAATGAGAGGAAGAGAGAAATGAGGAACTCTACATTTTGCAGACTGTATCCTCTTCAATTCAGTACAAGAGCTAGCCTTTCTTCCCTAACCAACCCTAAATAATATTATATTGTAGCACTGTTCAGGCTACCCGCAGGAGAAACCTCTCCATCAGTTCTGATAAAGTCTGTTTGCCAACATTTTCTACCCCTCTGGCCCATGTCAACATCTTCCTTCTAGTAAATATAACACTGACCAAGGGCCTAGTTCCCCATTTATAGTTCTGGTCACAGTCTGACTCTATTCATCTGCCAGGTGTATTGTACATGTTTGGTCCAGAATGTCTTGTTTTTTGAAGTGTACCCCATTTGACAACAGTATCTCAACAATTTTGTTGCCGATTGTACGTGTAGCTAAGAAATGCATACTTAAATTTTGTGTTCCTTAGGTAAACCTGGCATTTGATGAGACATCCAAGCTAGTGGTTCAAGAACCAGTATCACCTGAATTGGAGGCTTCAACAAGTTTTCAAAGTTGAGCTGGGAAGAATAATTATTAGAGTCCCACTCTACAAACTTTTCAAAGAGACTAGAAAAACAAATCAGACTTTGCATTTGATTTCGTGGTCTTCATACTTGAAAGCTTGTCAAGATCATGAACTTGTTGAAGTTTAAGTTTTCAAAATTAGCTCTATACGGTTGAAAGGGCTGCTTTTTATACAGTTCTAGCCTTCATTATTTTGAATTAAACTATAAATAATTTAATAACATAAAGTCAAGACATTTTGAGCCATTGACAAATCATAATATTGAAATGAAAAATTCTGCTTGTTCTTTTTCATAAGAATGCATGGTATTTCAGTGATCCTAATGCGAGAACCAGTTTGTAAAGCTTTAGAAATAGTACCACAGAAAAGTACTGCTCAGTAGCTTTCATTTGAATGGTCACACTTTAGGATTTCATCCACAGACTCAAACGTTAGAACCACCTTGTACAGCATAATAAACAGTACCACAGGAAATTACTGCTCAGTAGCTTTCATTTAAATGGTCACACCACAGGATTTTATCCACATAAACAACAGTTAGAACCATCATGTACAGCATAATAAGCAGTACCAAAGGAAAGTACTGCTCAGTAGCTTTCATTTGCATGGTCATACTTAAGGATTTCATTCACAGGCTCAAAAGTTAGAACCATCTTGTACAAAAACACAATTAAACAGCATCACAGGAATATACTGCCACCAGTAACTTTCATCTAAGTTATCTCGTATCAGTATTTCGTCCACACATTAAAAATCACAATTAAACATGTTCAGCTTGTCCAGGGTAATAGAAGTACCACAGAAGAAGTTTGAGATAACAAATTGTTAACTGTGAAATTCTGTTGTAACATTTGTCACTTTGTGGCGCTTAGTTTTGTATAAATTATGTTCTTGTGAGTAACGGAAAATGCAAGCGCAGTACAGATTAGGAGGACGTTTTTGTCCTGAATAACTTTGAATTATGTGTATATTTTAAAAAGTAATTGTTAACGTCAAGAAATACATGGGGAAAATAGTTATATCGTTATTTTATTTTGTTCTAAAGAGGTTCATGTTGTTTTTTCTTTTTTGAGGATAGTCACCACAGAAGAAAAACTATTTAATAATATGTTGTACATTTTCTTTAACTGAGAACGATAACGTGTAAACATACAATGTATAATTATTTGTTTAGTACAATAAAAGTCGAAAAAAGCCACGGAAATGAACCTTCCTGACTCACTTGCCTGCGAACAAGCTCCAGGATTGGGTGTAGGAGTGGAACGAAAGGAGGTTTTCGTCCCCCCCTCCCTCTCGGAGTTTGCTCGCAGATGCGTTATTGATGATCAAGCTAGGTGGATATTGGCTAAGTTTTTTTTTGTTTTGAAGTCGAAGTCAATAATAACGCGTAAAAAAGATCGAGGTCAACTAAAACCCAGCCATCTTGACCGAACAAGCTTGGTCAACAAAAATATATTATATGGCCAAAAGGAAACTTTTTGGAAACCATAAGTAGTCAGCAACTATGTGCCCTTCTTGCCCGCTCGGTAGCCAATCAGAACAATTAGCCTAGTACGGACACTGAGTAGGCCACAGAAAGTGTCCGTATTGAGCGGGTTGAATTTAGAGAAAATGTACGGGTTTTCTTTCCCCAGGGACAAAGCAAACTGTCCGTAATAATGAGGTGTCTATATTAAGCGGATGTCCGTAAAGCAGGACTAGTTTGACTGTATTCAAATTCAGGCCATGGTATTCACAATAAGTAATCCAGATTCAGGCAGGAACCGTAACGTTTTCTCGGCTATTTTACAGCCATAAAATGCATCTGTTAACCTTTTTGGGCCTTTTTACAGACAGAACCGGGACAGATTTCCCAACCTTTTCATATACTTCAAGAGCTGAATCGCCTAGAGACCTGAAAAATGAGGTACCCCTTTTATAAAGAGTACCCCCCTCTCCCCACGGGTATGAACTGTTCATCGCATTGAGAGGTGAAGCTATGAAGCTCCCATAATGAGTTAACTTATTTAATTAGTTAACAAAACAAAACAAGGCTGAGTGACCCAGAGTCTCTAGTGCACCCTGCCAATAAAAAACTAGAGTATTCTGAGACCTTCTTTGCTACTATACTCCACAGGGAGATGTGCCCCTAGGGGTACTCCCTCCAATGGCCTACACGGAGAAGCTTCGCCCGAAAGGGGTACCTTTTGTAGGCTTCAAGCACATAGGTAGGAAAATCTGTCAGTTTGGTCAGTAAAAAGGCCCAAAAACTTTTACAGATGAATTGTGTGGCATGGAAAAAGTGAAGATAGCGTTCTGGTTTTGTGATTTATACTTATTATGCAGCAGTTAAAGGGATGAAAAGTTTTAATCTAGGCATGTGCGTGAAAGAGGTACCAATTATCAGTAGAAGGTATACATAGTGTGTCACCTGTTGCTTGTCCTCCTTTGGCGTTCCTTTCAGATATAAATTTCTAAGAACGCAAAGAAAATGCTTTCAAACCCACACTGTGACAAGTCAAGCTACAAAATCCAATCTAGGAGCTCCAAAGAACTACTAGGAGCTTTGGTCATCTGCGCTGCCGTTATTTGAGTCGTCAGGTAACGCTTTTCTGCGAAGAAGACTAGAACTTTTCACCGGCATTGAGTCTACCCCCTCCCTCCCCGGAAGTTGGTACTTAAGTCAAATCTGCACTTTGGACTGTTCGAAAACTGATGTCTTATTTGCCCAAGTTACGTTTTTTTAATCGCGAAATAAATAGTATAGCGAACTGAGCAGGAGAACGTGGATGAAAAAAATGTTTTATGAATTTCGTTCTATCTTTCGCACAACGCATGTGAAAAAAGCTTTTTTCTTGCTCATCCTTGCTTCCACAACCCTCCACCCAGCTTGCGTTTGGATGCATGTTCCGGCTGGGCCTGTCCCGTCACTATCTTGGGTGATAAGCGAGGAAAAAGGAAATCAGGGAAAGTTAAAACCTTTCCCTTTTGGAAAGAGCTTGACAGCCAAATGCATGAACGAACGTGTCCGCGCTTGTCCCTTCTGAAAAAAAAAAACTAAACTAACTTTAATTTGACTTATATAAAAGAAGGAAATGAAGCCGATGCATACTAGCTTTCCCCTCGCCCAGCCTTTGATCAGGTTATGAGAAAGATTGCCAGGAAACCTTTACACCAGATCAGGAGCTGGAAGTTCAATCTCTTATAATTAAAAAAAGACCGGTTCAGGATAATTTCATTCAGGCTAGTTTGGTTTTACCTTTCGCTCCAGAGAACCCTCGATCCGTAGCGAAGTGCACAGCGAATAGAGTATAACTGATTATTTAAGTACTAACCGAGCGAGCCAAGGAGCTTCATTTAAAGAAAATCGTTATCACAGAAAGAGTTCCTGTATCATCATCGTCATCCTCATTATCATCATCGTCATCGTCATCATCATCATTATCATCGTCATCGTCATCGTCATCGTCATCGTCATCGTCATCGTCATCGTCGTCGTCGTCATCGTCATCGTCATCATCGTCATCGTCATCGTCATCGTCATCATCATCATCATTATCATTTTGTGGTCATGGCCAAGATTTCATGCGCAATGCGCCGCCATCCACACCCTTCCGTGCGACCCGCAGGTCTCAGCCTAGGACCTTGATCTCGCCAGGCTCAATTACCCCCTGCTGTCCCAGCTGTTGGAGAATTAATGAGCTCCCACTCCTCGGGGAGAAACAATGACTGTACTAGAAAGAGAGGGGAAATCGATCCTATGATGCGGTTGTCAATGGTTTGTGAAAAAATAGGTTTCCTANCAGCCTAGGACCTTGATCTCGCCAGGCTCAATTACCCGCTGCTGTCCCAGCTGTTGGAGAATTAATGAGCTCCCACTCCTCGGGGAGAAACAATGACTGTACTAGAAAGAGAGGGGAAATCGATCCTATGATGCGGTTGTCAATGGTTTGTGAAAAAATAGGTTTCCTATCCGTCGACAGGAGGAGATCTGAGTTAAGGGGGTCTAGTTAAGCAGACATTTATGAAAGACGCACACCAACCGGAAGCCGAGTGAGGCCTGGCTAGCAAACTTTGCATTCCTAAATGTCTTTACGCTTATATAGAGACGATTTGCCCAAATATTTGGGCAGAACCACTGAAACAAGAATGCAAAATCTCCACTTACGGTAGACGTGCATCGCTAAAAAACGATCTAATAACTTTATCTGCCTGGAATTATATATTAGCGGTCGGGGAACAGCTGCAGGACCTACGTTGCGGGCGTATAAGGACAATTACAACAGAAAGTAAAACAAGCCATATCTAGAATAGGTGAAATGCTCTTCTACGAGATTAACCACCCTCTTTTACGTTCCAAACACGAGAAGTTCTAAGAATACCTCAAAGTTGATTAGAACAAGGTGTATTGTTTTCTATAACAATATTTCTGCTGGTCATACCAGCCATCTGTAATTAAAGCTGAAGAAGGCTGGTATATGGCTATAGCCGAAATATTGTTATGAAAAAACCTTATCAGCTTTGCAGTAGTCTTGGGACTTCTCATTTTTGGTTCTTACTATCTGGCTGATTAGATCTCTTTTCTAGAGATCCAACGTTTATAACCAGCAGGATCTTCGCCCAAGTGTTCAGTTGCAGATAGTTTAACTCTTTTATGTTCTCTTGCCACCGGTTGGAATTGTGTAGATGTCTATATTAAATGGAAAAAGATTAGCAGATTTAGCAATGACAACTTGAGGTCAGTGACGACGGCTTGCGCGCGCAGATCTTAAAATCGTTTTGAATCAATGTCTTTCCCAGCGTCAATGCAAGGCGGACGTACAACGAGGACTCTAGGAACGAGTTTGGTTTCGAACGCCGGCAAATATATAGCACAAGATCGGAAGTTGCGTTCAGTCCTTAATTTTCGCCTGCTTCCGTCTTCTCATCTGACATGACGTTGCCTTTGCTAAATGTGCTCGATATCCCTATATTTTAGATACCATTTTTAACAGAAAAGGTACCCCCTTCAC